TATAATCATACCCATGGATACTTGAGGTGACATTGGAGTATCTATGTGACATTAGGGTTTTGGTTGATTTGTGTCTTAAGGTGTTATTCTAGTACGAACTCTAGGATAGATCGAATGGAAAGAATAGCTTCGTGTTATTTTACTACGGACTCTTGAATAGATCAATCAGAAAGAATAACTTTGAGGTGGTTTCGTACCCTATAATAATCTCTTCGGTTGTTCTCTGCTATTAGTGACTTTGGAGTGACTCTTGTTGCATGTTGAGGGATGGTTATATGATCCAATTATGTTATTATTGTTGAGAGAACTTGCACTAGCGAAAGTATGAACCCTAGGCCTTGTTTCAACACATTGCAATACCATTTTCGCTCACTTTTATCATTAGTTACCTTGCTGCTTTTATATTTTCAGATTACAAAAACCTATATCTACCATCCATATTGCACTTGTATCACCATCTATTCGCCGAACTAGTGCACCTATACAATCTACCATTGTATTGGGTGTGTTGGGGACACAAGAGACTCTTTGTTATTTGGTTGCAGGATTGCTTGAGAGAGACCATCTTCATCCTACGCTTCCCATGGATTGATAAACCTTAGGTCATCCACTTGAGGGAAATTTGCTACTGTCCTACAAACCTCTGCACTTGGAGGCCCAACAACGTCTACAAGAAAAAGGTTGTGTAGTAGACATCAGTCAAGTTTAACCCGAGTATTCCGCGTGTGCAAAACTTGCTTGCACCCATTGTATGTGAACGTAGAACTTATCACACCCGATCATCACATGGTGTCTCGGCATGACGAAATGTAGCAACGGTGCATACTCAGGGAGAACACTTATACCATGAAATTTAGTGAGAGATCATCTTATAATGCTACCGCCGAACTAAGCAAAATAAGATGCATAAAGGATAAACATCACATGCAATCAATAAGCGATATGATATGGCCATCATCATCTTGTGCATTTGATCTCCATCTCCAAAGCACCGTCATGATCACCATCGTCACCGGCTTGACACCTTGATCTCCATCGAAGCATCGTTGTCATCTCGCCAACTATTGCTTCTACAACTATTGCTACCGCTTAGTGATAAAGTAAAGCAATTACATGGTGATTGCATTTCATACAATAAAGCGACAACCATATGGATCCTGCCAGTTGTCGATAACTCTGTTACAAAACATGATCATCTCATACAATAAAATTTAGCATCATGTCTTGACCATATCACATCACAACATGTCTTGCAAAAACAAGTTAGACGCCCTCTACTTTGTTGTTGCAAGTTTTACGTGGCTGCTACGGGTTGAGCAAGAACTGTTCTTACCTACGCATCAAAAACCACAACGTGGTATAGTGATTGCTTTTTGATCTTCAGAAAGAACCCTATTCATTGAATCTGATTCAACTAAAGTTGGAGAAACTGACACCCACTGGCCACCTGTGTGCGAAGCACGTCGGTAGAACCAGTCTCGCGTAAGCGTACGCGTAATGTCGGTCTGAGCCGCTTCATCCAACAATACCGCTGAATCAAGAATCAACTAGTGATGGCAAGGAATAGGTATATATCCACGCCCACAACTCCTTTGTGTTCTACTCGTGCATATAACATCTAGGCATAGACCTGGCTCGGATGCCACTGTTGGGAAATGCAGTAATTTCAAAAAAAAAATCCTATGCACACGCAAGATCCATCTAGGTGATGCATAGCAACGAGAGGGGAGAGTGTTGTCCATGTACCCTCGTAGACCGTAAGCGGAGGCGTTATGACAACGCGGTTGATGTAGTTGTACGTCTTCACGATCCGACCGATCCTAGCACCGAAGGTACGGCACCTCCGCGATCTGCACACGTTCAGCTCGGTGACGTCCCATGAACTCTAGATCCAGTTGAGTGTCGAGGGGGAGCTTCATCAGCATGACGGCATGATGAAGGTGATGATGAAGTTACCGACGCAGGGCTTCGCCTAAGCTCTACAACGATATGACCGAGGTGGAAATCTGTGGAGGGGGCGCCGCACACGGCTAAACAATCAACTTTTGTGTCTATGGGGTGCCCCCTCCCCCGTATATAAAGGAGTGGAGGAGGGGGAGGGCCGGCCCTCTATGGCGCGCCCAAGGGGGGAGTCCTACTCCCGGTGGGAGTAGGATTCCCCCTTTCCCTTGTTGGAGTAGGAGAGAAGGAAGGGGGGAGAGAGGAAAGGAGGCCCCCCCCCACCCATTCGGATTGGGCTAGGGGTGTGCCTTCCACCTTGGCCTTTCCCTCCTCTCTTCCACTAAGGCCCAATAAGGCCCATATACTCCCCGGGGGGTTCCGGTAACCCCCGGTACTCTGGTAAATGCCCGAACTCACCCGAAGCCATTCCGATGTCCAAACATAGCCTTCCAATATATCGATCTTTATGTCTCGACCATTCCGAGACTCCTCATCATGTCCGTGATCATACCCGGGACTCCGAACTACCTTCGGTACATCAAAACACATAAACTCATAATACCGATCATCACCGAACGTTAAGCGTGCGGACCCTACGGGTTCGAGAACTATGTAGACATGACTGAGACTCATCTCTGGTCAATAACAATAGCAGAACATGGATGCTCATATTGGTTCCTACATATTCTACGAAGATCTTTATCGGTCAAACCGCATAACAACATACGTTGTTCCCTTTGTCATCGGTATGTTACATGCCCGTGATTCGATCATCGGTATCTCAATACCTAGTTCAATCTCGTTACCGGAAAGTCTCTTTACTCGTTCCGTAATGCAACATCCCGTAACTAACTCATTAGTCACATTGCTTGCAAGGCTTATAGTGATGTGCATTACCGAGAGGGCCCAGAGATACCTCTCCGATACACGAAGAGAAAAATCCTAATCTCGATCTATGCCAACTCAACAAACACCATCGGAGATACATGTAGAGCATCTTTATAGTCACCTAGTTACGTTGTGGCGTTTGATAGCACACTAAGTGTTCCTCCGGTATTCGGGAGTTGCATAACCTCATAGTCATAGGAACATGTATAAGTTATGGAGAAAGCAATAGCAGTAAACTAAACGATCAAAGTGCTAAGCTAACGGATGGGTCAAGTCAATCACATCATTCTCTAATGATGTGATCCCGTTTATCAAATGATAACTCTTTGTCCATGGCTAGGAAACTTAACCATCTTTGATTAACGAGCTAGTCAAGTAGAGGCATACTAGTGACACTTAGTTTGTCTATGTATTCACACATGTACTAAGTTTCTGGTCAATACAGTTCTAGCATGAATAATAAACATTTATCATGATATAAGGAAATATAAATAACAACTTTATTATTGCCTCTAGGGCATATTTCCTTCAGGAATTACTCACGCACGGCGGTAGGCATCATGAAGTTGGTGACGGAGGATGGTTGATGATGACGATGGCGACGATTTCCCCTCTTCGGAGTCTCGAACGGACTCCAGATCTGCCCTCCCTATGAAGAACGGGAGGTGGCGGCGGCTCCGTATCGTAAAACGCGATGAATCCTTCTCTCTGATTTTTTTCTCCCCGAACGTGAATATATGGAGTTGGAGTTGAGGTCAGTGGAGGTCCAGGGGACCCACAAGGCAGGGGTGCGCCCTCCACCCTTGTGGACAGCAGGTGGGTCTTCCTCTGTTGATTCTTTCGCCAATATTTTTTATTTATTCCAAAACTATTCTCCGTGAAGTTTCAGGTCATTCCAAGAACTTTTATTTCTGCATAAAAATAGCACCAAGGCAATTCTGCTGAAAACAGCGTCAGTCCGGGTTAGTTCCATTCAAATCATGCAAATTAGAGTCCAAAACAAGGGCAAAAGAGTTTGGAAAATTAGATACGATGGAGACGTATCAGTGACTAGGAAACCAGCTGACCTAGCTATGAGAGCATCTACAGTTGGATGCCTCAAACCACCCTATACGTCCGGACGGACGGGCGGGTCACTGACCGGTCAAAAGAAAACTCAACACAGACGGACTCATATCCAACCCAAAATCTAGGGCGGATATGAGGAGTCTCGACCATGTCAGAACCGAGAGGTCGGACCCACCTCAATTTGCACCAAAATGACAAAGTCGTCCAAATCCATCGCCCTCCTCTTGCATCCGTCCCCTATTTTTCGTGTTCGGGTCGTCTGACAGAGCTAAATCCGGTAGATTTCGGGTAAGGGGGCTTGAACTAAGGGTATTGAGACGATGGTAACAAGGGCACGAGTTTTTACCCACATTCGAGCTCTCCCGGAAGATAAAATCGTACGTCCTGCTTGTGTTTTATTGCCTTTGAATGGATTATAAAGTACGGATGATCTACCTCGAGACCATCATATATTCTCTACGAGCCCTACTCCTTGATTTATATAGGTACCAAGGGTCAGGGATACATCTAAGTCGCCTATGTATATAAAAAGACAAATTGTATACAACTTCTAATCATCTTGAAGTATACGACAAGTCTTTGGGGAGTCTTCTTTCAGACTCCATTGGCTGCTTTCGATGTGGTCCACTGATAAACCGACATGGGGTCTTTGGTCCGACCCACCAGACCGGGCGATGACGTGTTGAGACTTCCCTAGTCGTAACACCGTCAATAGCCCTGAACCGGTCTTCAAGTCTTGGCACACCTCAGCCCATTCAAACTGTTTTTTCTCTTGGGTCGTCGTTCTTGAAACAGATTCAACAAATCATCCTTTCGGAGACAACCTATAAAACGGTGGTCTTGTGTAATTTGCTCTCCGCTGGCGCTATTGATTTATCCTACCGTTGCCTCCCACGAAGCGGATAAGGTTTTCAAACGCACGCGCTTGCGCCAATACCAGCCGTCCGACCACTCCCCCATTGCCCATCCGACGGCTGACACGCGCCCCACCCGTTCTACTAGTCCACCGAGGCCTCTCACTCGCACCTCATCACTTCGCCACCACCACAAACCCTATCCCCATTAACCCGCGCCCAAAACCCTGAGCTGCGCACCCACCGGCGATGTCGGCGACGGCCATCCGCTCCGGCGAGCTCCTCGCGTTTCCCGCCGCGCTGAGGCGTGGCCCGCCCGTGGCTTCTGCCTCGGTGGTCGCGTTCCGGTTGAGGGCGCCAGTGGCCGGGCGCGTGGCGGTCAGGGTTGTCGCGGCAGCGGCAGAGGGGGCTGGGGCGGAGGCGGAGGCGGAGGCGGAAGGGAAGCCGAAGCCGAAGAAGAAGAGGGCAGCGAGCGGGATCATGAAGCCTAAGCCGATTTCTCCGGAGCTAAGGGAGTTTGTCGGAGGCGCGGCGGAGCTGCCCCGGACAGAGGCGCTCAAGATCATCTGGGCGCACATCAAGGGAAACAACCTCCAGGTAAACCACTCCCTTCTCCTCTCTCATTCCTTGATGTTTAATTCCATTTTAGTGGTTTATTAGGTGTAAATGGTACTATAGGTATGATAGTTTTGTGCCTGCAACTTCGATGTTATTTGTTCCATCGGCGTGGATTTTGATAATTAACGGTATGTTTCATGGAGTGCTGTTTGTGTATCTAGTTTCATGGTTTGTGGATGAAGGTATTTCAATATCTCGGTTGGATTTGTAGCCTCAGTAGTTTGCTAGTTTTTTCCTGAAATGTTGTATAGGCAAAAGCAGGATGCGGAACTAATGTTGTCTATGGTCAAGTGAATAATAGGAAGGGCTTGGGTGAGGGTCTGTGTGGGACTATTGAGTATGGACCACCCATGCTGTATGTTGCGATGGGCTCAGATTTCAATCCTGTGCTGGCGGGAAATTTGGGGTATTTGCCTGTTTTGTTCGATTTAGGGATGACCATGCAAGCACTGAATTTGGGAATAAGCTCATTGTCTGGTTATGTCGTTGGCCAGCGCCCTTGTGTAAATCTGTAGGATTGACCTTAAAATGATGCAAATCTTCTGAACATAAATGCGGACTGTGGTCAGGGTTTAAACTTGACTATGGAAGTTACTCATTCCCCATCCTAATTTTTTCGATAAAGGGCAGTTTTATTATCTCATAATATAGCATCAAGCGGATACAAAGCATGATGAGCAGCACCTAGCCTATGCATAGCTAAGACGCACACAGCCAAAACTAACAGCCCCCATCGGCCCATCCTAATGACCAGAGTATTTGTAAGTTCGAAATTATTTAGGTCTCATGAAAAATGAATTTTTTTTACGAAACCCAAAAATTTAGTTTGAATTTGTCCTGTCTGTATTATGACGAATTTCAGTGAAATATTAAACCCTGGCTGTAATATGGAAAGAGGTTCAAAGGTGTACTCTGATATGTATGCGAACTACAAGGCTGGCACTTCCCTTTCGTGTTTACATAGAAACTGCTAAGGATTACTAGTGCACAGGCAATCTGGTACTCCCTCCGTTCCGAATTACTCGTCGCAGAAATGGATGTATCTAGATGTATTTTAGTTCTAGATACATTCATTTCTACGACGAGTAATTTGGAACGGAGGGAGTACATGAGAAATACCCACGGTCCACATGAGGTCTAAAATTTGAAATATGCACATGCAGAAAATCGATTTCATGCACACACCTGCAGCAAGATTATTAAAGAAACATCCCAAAATGAGGAACCTGTGCATGTAAGACCTTGGAATGTGGCACATTGCCCCACTTGGTTACATTATAGGCCTGACTACTAAGCACCTTCCACGTAGGTAGCTCAGTTGCAGATAGCATGCTTGTGACTGGGCACTCGCTTGTGCCGAAATATCTGTGAAGTTCTCATACCATTATTTTTACCCGTAATAAGGACAGAAAAATGAGTCGGTCATTACTTTGGAAACTAGTGATAACAGAAAGGATTGCAATCTTATTTTATGTCTGTTGCAAAATAAAGGGACACTACTTTATCATACAGACTGTATTGCAGTATGACATTATTTAACCCTCTTGATTAACTAATAACCTATCTACAAATAGAAAAGTAAAATAGAGTGCTAGTAGAGAATTTCCACAACATTACTGTATCCGTATTTCTTGCCAATCTTGTAAAGGTATGCCATATGCACAGATGTAGTTTACATAGAAGGCACATAATATTTTCAAGGAAACCACCTCATTAATGCAAGCTTTAACTTAAAAGGTTGAACCTCCCAGTCTCAGTGCTGTATGAATCATTATAACTGCCCACGCACACACATATTCAAACACAGGGCCCATATTTGCCTGGACCACAAGCCAAAGATGCTATTACTGTGAACGTGCTTACTGAACATCCACTGCTAGTAACTTTAAGTTCTGATGTGGCCTTCAATCTTTTATAATTTCATGGCCTGCATAAAAAAATTATCCTCAGTTGCCATTGTTCTTGTAACTATTAGTGTACTTACCTGCTGTGGATGCATTCTGGGAGAAGACCTGCATGTTAGTTATTCTTTATCATTAGCTTGTCCCTGGATTATCTGTTAGTTACTTATAAGATCTTTAGTTTAACAAACAAGTGGCCACCGTTGTGCGTTCAGTCTTCCAGGTTCTTTCTTGACCAGTTCATCCCCACTCACAGATTACCTAGTTCATAACATTACCTATTTGGATCCAAATGCTGCTTATGTATTACTACTTACCTTTGTGGATTGAAATGTGGTATATGTACTAATAGCACCGGAACCAAAATTAAATATTGTCTGCTGTGGAAGAGGTTTAACTGTATTGTCCCATAGAAGATAAGCCAGTCATTGATTTTTATTTTATTTTTATATAAGACCATTTTTGTCATGTTCATTGTTCAGTAAGAGACTAGAGTGGTACTAAAAAAAGAAATTGGCTGCCACTAAAAGGAGACATACTAAGATAATTGGTTGTCATAGTTCTAGTTAACCTTGCAAGCAATACCTTCTGTTTCCATATAGCAGTTTTTTTTCTTCTGAATCTATGTGTTTTTGCAAGCAGGATCCCGAGAACAAGAAGATAATAGTCTGCGACGAGAAACTGAAGAAGATATTTGGTGGGCGTGAGCGTGTTGGATTTCTTGAGATCTCTGGGCTCCTCAATCCTCATTTCCAGAAATAATAGGATTTATGTAGATGTTGCACTTTTTTGTATTAGCGAAGACAGTTGTATCAGCATATTTAGCTGAACCTGGTATGGAGGGTCCGTAATTCTGGTTTGAGAATGGTACGCGTGTTCCCTGAACACATCTTCATCTAGTATTTGCAGTAAATGGTCTGCTGGTTTTTGGGTTGTGATTAGTTATCTCCCGTTCATCCTTTGTGTTTAAGTCCTGTTAACCTACCATATTAGACCTGAATGGTGGATCATCACATTTTCCCATTCTCTATAGTCTATATATATATATATATATATATATATATATATATGCTGTTTGCCCTTTTTTAGACTGCAGCTGAAAGCCAAGCAATTCTGCATGATAACCAGGGTCACCAACAAGGACCTTAAGGTATGATTCATTCATTCTCTTTGGGTCGCTAATGATTGCGCTGCTGAAACTGTCGGCTAGCATTTGCTGCTCTATGATTGTATCTGAAACTGCGCTTTGGCAGGATAGTAAACCGAAGGAACATATTTCTCTGTGCGAGCTACAAATTCAGATCAAGCCCAGGAGAGAGAATTCTGTGCTTCAGGTCGACGCGAACCGCCCGTCACATTCTGAAGTTGGTTGATGCCTTTGACCGTTGCTCACCCCATTCTGGACATGTGGATGGCTGGCAACAGCAACACGGAGTGCTCGCTCGACAGACGAGCTGCTTCACATGCTCCCGGCCTTGTGCTCCTCAACAGCTTCCATGGTACTAAAATCAAATCCTGCTTACGGATGGTACCAAAGGCTCGCTGTTTGTCAAGGGTAAGTGGCCGCTCTACTTTTCCATAGGCTCGTGCACTTGGACAACTCACCTATAATTAACAGCTAACAAACCTCTCTACCATGTACTCACAACAGATTGACTGTGAAGTTGCCACTCATCGTTGATCATCTCCAGACAGTAATACGGGAAATCATCTGTCGTTGGAACGTTATTCTAGAGATTTACTTTGCTTGGGCTCAAATGATTAGCAGCTGGGTGAATGGACTAATGAATGCGCCAAAGTGATTTTATATGATCCTGCTCCTTCTTTTGTCTAAAGGAAAAAGAAGAGATATTGTGATATGAGCATAGTGCTGCCGCGCGATTAGACTATAATTAGTGTGTGTGCGCGCGGAGGCAGAGATCACATGTCGGTGAATGGTGGTCGCGTAGGAGTTAAACAAAGTTGGCGGTCGCCTTTTGGTGTGGCCCTTGAGAAAGACTGGTCACCGGTTTGATATATCCGTGTTAATTTTCCGTTTGCGCCTTTATAAACTAAAAATATTTTCTGTACTCCGGAGTATGTATTAGTAGTCCACACGGCAGTGCAGGTAGTGCGGCACGTTGGTACAGTCCCATGCAGTCTACCTAGTGCGCGAGACTGAATTGGCTTCATCGCCTTGATCAGTGGCATTTGCCAGGGGCAGGGGCACTATCAACTCACTAAACTACGACTAGCTCAGTGAATTAGTCGCAATTAGGGTCTAAAAGTACGACTTCTTTGTGATGCTAATTCTTCTTTGGCTGCCTTTTTTTTCCTAATTAATGGATTAATGGAAAGCAGTGTTACTGTAGCATACACATTGACGATGATCAATCATTGCAGCATGTGCTGTTCTGGTGTTTATAATCTTCACGCCAAAATCCTGTTTAAATACGTCTTTTTTTCTACTACATACATCGTACATATGTGTAGTGATGGCTTGCATGACTGGGAATTCGTGATTTATGGGGATTTGTGATCCATAGTGAGGTAAAGGCAAATTCGCCTTGTTGCGTCATAATATATCTCACTTCACTTGTACCAGAAGGAGATGGTGATTTTGTGATGTGGTGTCCTGTTTCTGGTCTTTTTTGGCAGGTCCTACCAAAAAGGTCCAGTTCACCACAAACGCACATTCCCTTGTCCTCTTTTATGTACGTGACGCAATATTTTTTCTGCGGAAAACTTTCAATCTATTCGTTTTCAATCATGATAATACAACGAACACTAGAAATAATAAAAATTACATCCAGATTCGTAGACCATCTAGCGATGACTACAAGCACTGAAACGAGCTGAAGGCGCGCCGCTGTCATCGCCCCTCCCTCGCCGGAGCTGGGCAAACCTTGTTGTAGTAGACAGTCGGAAAGTCGTCGTGCTAAGGCCCCATAAAACCAACACACCAGAACAGTAACCGCCGCAGATGAAGAGTGCAGATTAAAAGGATCCAACCTGAAGACACGCGAATGAAAACGAACGATGAACATATCCGAGCAAATCCATCAAAGAGAGATCCGCCGGAGACACACCTCCACACGCCCACTGATAACGCTAGACGCATCACCGGAACGGGGCTAGGCGGGAAACCTTTATTTCATCTTCAGGGAACCGCCGCCGTCTCGCCTTCCTAAACAGGACACAAACTCTAACAAAGCTCAAAAAAATCTAAAAACAGAGCCCTCCGACCGGCAAGGGGCAAGATCCACTCCGCCTCCATGGCCCTAAGACCACCGGAGACGGGACGAACCGCAGCCGGCGCCGGCGGGAGGAAGACTACCCTAGCTTTTTGGAGGCGGCGGCTGGCTGGGTCAAGAGGCGGCTACGTGACGCAATATTTAACAACATCAGCAATCGAATCTGTTGCCAAGTATAGCAGCTGCGCGAGAGGAAAATACACAGAAGCACCTGTGCTCTATTCCCCTGTACGGAAATTAAATTCAAAAAATGCCAGAAAATTCAAATAAATCTGAAATCTTGGGATCTCAAACTTGGGTGCTCAAACTACTCCTGTATGAAGTTTTGTAAAAAAAATACCAGAAAATGTATCTGTAGGGAAGAAAAATACAGTCCAAACTAAAATCCATCAAAACAAATGGTTTTCTATACATAGGGAGCTTTTTGTCTTCTTTACCATGGATATGTTTTCTGATATTTTTTCATGAAATTTCACATGAAAATAGATTGGGCATCCAGGTTTCACATCCGGAAACCTTGGTTTTTATTTAATTTTCCGGTACTTTTTGAACTAAACGTTCATATAGGGATGTGAAGCACCCGATGCTGCGCAAGAGTATCTGGATCCTAGCGCTAGTTAGAAAATCCAACATAACTGTACGAAGAGCTCAATGTTATGCACATCACCTTGCAATATGAGGCTTTGGCTTTTCTATTTATTTTACGAAATGTAAAATACTACCAGCAATCCACTTTTCCGCTCCAACATTTTCTTGCATTTTTTAGGCACTCCGTGGCACTGTATCGATCGAAGTGGAATCATCGTTTACTGAAAACTCACACTTACTACTTCCTCCGTTTTAGAATATAAGAATGTTTTTTACACTAGTATAATGTTAAAAACGTTATTATATTTTGGGACGAAGGGAGTAATTTTATGTGTCAATTGAATCCAACATCCAGGGCTTCATCTTCAACCTTGAAATAGTTTCACATTGTTTCTCTTCTTTCCCACTATGTTCGATCTTTCTCTTCCCTAACCGTCCCCATGGATCACCGGCTGGACCGCCCTCTCCTCAACCGTCGCCCACCGTTGTGCTGCCGCCGCCCCCGGCCATCCCTCTAGCCCCGGCGATGGTTAGTTTTTGTCCGGCGAACCTGCACCACCCGCCTACACCCCTATGATAGATAATGGGGTTGCCTGCCACCCTAAGATAGACCTAGAGTGCCTCTCCGGCGAGCTTTTTCCTTCCCTCCGGTGAGCTCGTTCCTTCCTTTCAGCCGTTCTTTCCTTCACACGAAATTCGACTGACCCAAGTTTCTAAATTCAAGCGACTTACATATAGCTATTGCGTGAGAAAACGACTTAGACATAAGGGACTCCAACTAGCAGAATCATTATTATTTGTAAAATATAAATAAATGAATTCCTGAATAGAAGCACAGATCGCAGGAGTTGTTGGAGCAGCAGGTGGGCGATATCACATCCTACCCAACATGCAGCAGGAGAGAAACGATACATGATGCCTGCCACATTCTCTCTGCTCCACATTCAAACGCTCAAACCACACCCCTCAACTCCAAACCCCTCCACTCCACGGACACCCGCAGAGGAGCACCATCTTCAACAAAAAAGAAGTTGAAAGCAATCCAAGACCATCGGCGAGGAGCCAGCGCGGCAATGGGGAGCGCCACCAAGATCATGAGGGCGGCGCTCCACGCCTTCTTCTCGCACTACCACCCGGCGGCCTCCGCGGCGGCGCTGCTCGCGCTCCCCTTCTCCGCCGCCACGCTCCTCTCCCGCTCGCCCGCGGCGTCCCTCCTCCCGCCGCTCTCCCTCCGCCTCCGCCGCGTCCTCGTCGCCGCGGGCTTCCCGCCGGCGTCCCAGCTCCTCTTCCTCCTCAATCACAAGCTGTCGCAGTCCGTCTTCTCCTTCCTCGCCACCCTGCCCTTCTCCCTCTCCTTCCTGCTCCTCGCCAAGGCCTGCGCCGTGCGCGCCATGCAGCCGCCGCCGCCGCCGCCGCGGAAGCAGCGCCGCCACGAGCTGTCGGCGCTTCCCGCGTCGTGCGGCCGCTACCCGGCGATGGCGCGGACGCAGCTCGCCAACTTCGCGGCGCTCCTGCTCGCCAACGCGGCCGTGTTCGCCGCGCTGCTCGCGGCCTTCAATGCCGCGGAGGCGCTGCGGCTGGGCTCCGACGGCAGGGCCGTGCTGGCGCTCTCGGCCGCGGGCGTCATCGTCTACTCCGTCGCGCTCGCCAACGCCGCCGCCGTCTGCAACCTCGCCACCGTCGTCGCGGCCGCCGAGGGCCGGGGCGGCTGCCACGCGGTCCTCAAGGCGCTGCTGCTCGTCCGGGGCGACGCCGCCACCGCCGTCGCCGTGGCGCTGCCGGCCAGCCTCGCCACCACAGCCGTGGAGGGGCTGTTCCAGCTCAGAGTCATGAAGCTGTACATGATCGACGGCAGGATAAGCTCGGCCATGGTTTGCGAAGGGCTCCTCATCGCCTACATTCACTCCATGATCTGTGTTCTTGACACCGTCATCACCTTCATGGTCTACCAGACCTGCAAGGCCACCCATTATTCTCGTGATCTGCTCGAGTTGGAAGAGAAAGGGGATTTCTTTGCCTGATGAATATCTTAAGAGTCTTACTTAATCACTAGAGAGCCTGGAGCACAAACCTCCCATGATGATGGTGATGCTCATTGCTATTTTTTTAAAATCTAGTTTTTTTTTTATCGTTTTGTTAATGCTGGTTCTGGGGACATAGGTGCTGTTAGTATAATTAGGAGGTGCATCAGGTCCATCAGATGGCTAAGGAGGTCAATCTGTAAATAATTGGAAAAAACTGGGGTTACCATAAAGATTTGTTATCCATCAGAGTTTGGTTAAACTAAGCATGCCATTTGGTCGCTCATATTATCAAGGCAGTTTAGTTGTTCTGCTGCTTTTCACATACCTGAAGCAAACAGTATCTCAGCCGGTTGGTCAAGAAAGAATGTTTCTTTTGTCTAGATGAAACACTCTGCAATCTGGCAGCTTTCCAGCATGAATTATCAAAGTACAAACATGTGAAGTTCAAAAAAAAAAGTACAAACATGTGCCAAATTTATGCCATGTCTTGACATTTTTAGAAACACAGATTTGATTTTTTTTTTTCAAAAAAAAACCCCACTCCAGCGCCTGCAGATAGCTGTATTGTCTGAGGGATAAGATCCACATCCTGACACTGCCACCCAAAGTCGCCAACAGTTTTTGGGTCACTTTGTAGGAAGATCCTGACCCTACCATTTCAAGTACTTCCTGCCTTGATTCCAAAGCAAAGCAACAGGCCAAGCATGCATACTCATCTCTACTTGTACACTACACATCCACATCAACTTGGCTGGCCTGGCCTGGTGGTTAGTGAGTTGTAAAAAAAACTCAATGATATGTACTAGCAGCTTTTTGGTAACTTTTTTTCCTAGGCCCCAATCCAATCCATGCTCTCAGATCTGGGAAATATGGTAACTGCCACTTGCCATATGCAGATTCCCAGTGCCACAATGCTACAAAAACATCTTCCAATAGAAGGACCTTGGACTTTATGTGCCATTGGAGCACCGGGGTTGGGCCTGGGGACTAGGCTACATTAACAAACGGTGACACTAAAAGTTAGTACTCCGTTTGTTAATGATAAAGTAGCTGAACTTTTGGAATGACCAAACGGGAGGTGACTGCAAAGGCCTTGCTCTGTGACTTTGTTCACCTCACATTTAATTATGTTGGTACTTAATTTGATGCTGAAGCACAATCTGGGAAATACGATCACACGTTTGTTAAGCCGTCCATTTATGATCAGTGTGAAAATGGTTTCCACACAAATGAACATAATTTTGTCTATCAACAGACAGAACAAATTACAAATATGGCTGAATCTTTTGTTTACTAGCACTAGCAATTCTCGTGCATGATCTTGGCCTTTTCAAATATGAACTTGCCTTCCTTGTACTTGCAGGATTCTTTCATAGGCTCTCTCGTATTTCCATCCAAGCACCTCGAGGCAATCACGGCAATGGATCATTGTACTTCAAGTAGACCATTGTACTCCTATATATATGCCCACGAGGCTCAAGCAATAATTCAACAATTCCATCAAATCCCTCTCTCCCTTTTAACACATTCTTTATTGAATAACTTACGGTGATGAATCGGTATGCCCAAATAACTGAATGGCAAAGAACCTAATTCACACCGGAACAGTTGTCTATAAATGTCTTGCTCTTCTTTGGCCTTTTCAAATATGAACTTGCCTTCCTTATACTTGTAGGATTCTTTCGTAGGCTCTCTCGTATTTCCATCCAAGCACCTCGAGGCAATCACGGCAATGGATATCGACCACCGTGTGAAGCCCAGTCATGAGCTGCCTGCCCTCCTTGGCCCCCGCAGCGATGTTCATGGCGCGAGAGAAGAGAAATGCGCGGCCATTCCTCCCCTACAACAGCCAAAAGAGCAAAGGAGAGATAGTATTACTATTAGGATTAGTATTACAGCAGTACTCCCTCCGTTTCATATTAGTTGTATCTCTGAGGGAGTAGTATTAAGAGTCCACAGTTCGGTTGCAATTTTAGCACGGCTTCCCCAACCAGTCCAACATTTCTAAGATGCTATTGTCCAATCTTGATACCTAACTATTGTCCAATCTTGATCCCTAACGCAGGGCAAAGTCAAACAGTGAGGAGGAGAAGCAAAATTATCCTTGTTCTTCACCTCTACCGGGCCGGGCAAATTCATATCCCGGTATGAATTATCAAAATTATCCTTGTTCCCTGAATCATGATCTCCCGGCAGGACTTGACATTGCCCCGGATTCTAACCACCTAGATTGCCCTTCAAGTGAGTTCCAGATGTGACAGGGTAGCAGTACACATACCAGCTAGAAATGGACATGATATACTTTTAGTAAGTGGGACTACACTCTGATTTCCAACAGAAATTTGGAAAAAAGGTCCTAGCTTGGAACTTGAAGATTCTATCACGCACGAGTCCTACTACTTTAGGGCTTAGGTGATGCATCATCTTTTTTTTTCTTTCCATTTTTGAGATGGAGGCAAAAGCTTATATGTTTTACTTTGGAGTCGGATGTCTGTTGTTCGTGTATAGCCGGAGAGAGGAAGCGTTTAGGCAAAGTAAACTTTAGCGTGAAGCATGGTTGAGAAAGCCAAATGAATAAAATAAGCAAATTAGACACCACTGCCTACGGTAGGGTAAAATGTTTCTTCCCAACGGTTCAAGATCAACCAAACCAAACCAAATAGTACTACGTACGTGAGATTCTGAGTAGATGCAGCAGCGCCAGAGTAGGACTTTCTGGCTGATTTTGACAGCGATGTGCCTCACAGTTCCAGTGCCAAACAGCGATATGCTTTGAAATACCCCACATAGCATTTTCCTTTTGATCAGGCCACGAAAAAGAGAAAAAGTGCCCAAGTTGAGAATGAAAAGGCGGGAGGGAGCACCTCATATGATTGCGGGGCAAGAGAATTTCTGCAGCAGATTCAGAGCCTGTCTACAGGTAGCACCTTCAGCTAGAAAGTGAGCCTGAAATAACTTTTTATTTTATTACAACAAACATATATAGAATACAAGAAAGCATATCTGTACATTCACTTCTCCTTTTTAATCTTATTACAAATACAAACAAGAACATGTTGGGGAATATATAAAGTTACAAAGCGAGCATGTATACAACTGACCCATCTACAAATCATAAACAAGTATTAACTAGCTGGTATGTATTATACTGCATTTGCGTCAATTTTGGCAATTCCGTTTTTTGCTGTGTCCTATGAGAAATTGAAATTCCGTGTGTCTGGGAAAAACTGCAAATGATGCTACCGTTGTAGTATTTGACAGCATTAATGTTTGGAGCGATATGAATTCATGCAATCCTTTGACAGAATGAAGTCGCCGCGACAAACCAGTAGCGAGGTTCCAGAGTCTATTCTTCCCTTTTAAACTGCAAGACCCCGATCTGCCCCTGGTTAACATTGCCGAGGTCTGTTCTTGTATGCGAAGCTTGATTGCTAGACATGCTATTCGACCCTTTCTGTTGTGACCGGTTGGAATTTCCTCCATTCTGGTTGCTGCCTCTACCGACCGGTGGTTCATGGTTATGTTTTCCTTCATAAGTTGTGATGACAGCCTTTGGGTCTGATGAGGCCCTCTCAATGTGCTTCCTAACATTGCACCCAGCAAACGTGCACTTGTAGTAACTCCTATAATTAGAGAGAGTGTGAGATCATGTAGGTTCAACATGAAACAGGTAAATCACTAACCACATGCATTGCATGTAAACTGAGTATGGAGCTAGCCTATGACCAAATGGTCCGATTAAGTCAACAGGAAGCGCATAAACAGGAAAGTATTTTCTACAGGAATGATTATGCTTCAGACACAATTGTACATTTGGATGCAGTGATGTTGTTTCGCCTTTCGGGAAAATGTCATTTCACAAAAATAGAGTAAGTCATGAGGATGTTCCTTTCACTTTTGAGTGCCTTCTGTTATCCACTACATCAATGAACAGTGACTTCTACTGTATTTGCTTTCTCTCTTCACTTTTGTTATCTACCTTTTGCGCAGCTACAGTTGTTCTTTTTTGGGGGGTATACAAACATTTATAGCACATATTTCACGAGCTGTATTTCTGATCATCTCAAAGTAAGGAATGATGATGTTGAGTAAAGCTCAGGTCTTTCCATGATATCATTCTATTGGAGATATCACAGAAATGCCAAATAATTCATCGAAGCAATTAGGATTATTTTGCAATTTAAGTAACAAACTGACACTGTTATTTTACAATAGCATGGGTAAGACAAATAAGAAAACCTATGATCAAGTATTTAAATGAAATCTAATTGTGGCAGAGGTTATGCCCTGAGTACAATACGAATGCTGGAAAACAATGGCAGTGCTTCTACTCAGGAGAGCCGTGAGTAAGATGAAACCTATGAGCTCAACAGGATAATACCAACCATATCAAATTTGGTAAAAGCCTGACACTGGCCCAGGTTTTGACCAAGCAAGTTCTTTACACTCCCAAATACTGAAGTTGACGGGATAAAACTCCGGTCTATATTTTATTTTGGTTCAGCTGACTCCTCAAAAGCTTCAATACCATTTACTTAACCCCCTAGCTTGGTTTTAGACCTATGGTGTTACTGACATGGACAAATGGAACATAGTGTGCCTACACAGCAGCCATGTGGCCGATTTTTACCACGTAGCATCACATGTAGACAATGACATCATCAACTGCAGCAGTGTAGCGTCAATTTGAACTCATGTCCTACAACTCTGGCAGACTGCGACCACCCCCTTCCTTCTATTCTGAAGATGCTCCAGCGGATGTAAGACCCCGCACCACCGTCAAACTGGTCGCTGCACCACAAGAGGGACGTGGGAGGAGAGAAGAGAACAGATGGTGCCACACGGACTTCGAAATGGTGATGTGAACATTGCACATGACCTGTTTCTCTTATGTACACATTACACTCCTTTTTATCTTTTTCTCTTATGTACACATTGCTGATGTAGCATTGCATAACCTGTTTTTTACTTTAACATTTCTGGCTATACTCATTTTAGGTATCGACAGCATCAGAAGTCTATTCTAGTGATGTGCCTTCAGGTAATAACTAGTAAAAATGATTAAGGAATCATGCTACATTAAATGAGGTGTGAATTCTTGCTTTAGTGAAGTGAACTTGTGTTGCATACCTTCCAACTTGTTTGGGTAAATAAAGCATGCAACGTCGGACAAAAATAAATAACCTAAAATTTCTAAAGGCATGCATCGGATCATATATAATACTCCCTCCGTTCCATAATACTTGTCGTGGTTTTAGTTCAAATTTGACTAATATAGGCGATGAATACCTCAAATAGCAGAACACGTGAAGTTGAATTAGTAGTGTGCATGGCCCATGGGTTGTGATTTTTCTTTTTGACTAAAGTGGGTCATGATTTATGGGCTATATATTATTTCAGTAAACAACTAACAGTCAAGAGTGTAAGGAAAAACCTTGGATGAGGATTTCCTTTGACCACCTTCTGCCCATACTTGCGCCATCTATAACCATCATCCAAAAGGTCAACCTCACTGGTTGTTTGTACAATGATCTTAGACTCTGTCAGGGCCTTCTGTGAAGAAATTTGTATATTCCTACACAATAGAGGAATTAATTTTAATAACGCAACTATCTAATCAAAGAGTGGAGTGGTAATTGTCAGCTAAAGGCACCTTCTTTTGCAGTCATTCTCTCTATCATCAACTTCATTTGGCCGAGATTCACCATCATCCTTATCATCTCCATCACTTAGACCAGATAATTGCTCAGACATTCCATATACAGCTTCCTGATCTCTCCTAACACCTGACAAACCAGATGCTGTGTCATTGGATTGTTCATTTTGCTCGGCTGCTGAAGAGCTGCCATCTTTTGCCCGTTTATTTGGTGGACGTTGGTGATTGTGTTTTCCCTTATATATTATTTCAGATATTTGGCCATCTTCTGCGTGCTCTACTTTTTTCTTCACAGGACAACTGGGATGAGTACATTTGTAGTAGCTCCTTGGGCAATCACTGCCCTTCACCACCTTCTGACCATACTTCCGCCAATTATAGCCATCATCAGCAGGTTTATCAACTGGGGCAGGAACTTGGTACCTGTGAGAAGCCTCAGCAGATTGGAAGGCTGCATGCTCATTGTTCGATATGGTTGTCGCCATCTCTGACATCTCAGCCACATTGGCTGCAGAGCTCATATTCTGTAGAGCTCCAGATGACGTTGCAGCTGCTGAAAACGATGGCTGTTCAGTGTGATCAAACATTCTGAGTGGAGAATGGCTTGCTTGGGCTGTGACTTGGGCAAGAGCCTGTTGATGCGACATGCCGAAACCCCCCTGTAAAATTAAGTAAAATATCGATTTTTTTTATTGACAACTAAAACTGATACTCCAGACATGAGGAAAGTGCAGAATGAAATGATATAAGAGTTGACTGTTCTTCACGATGAAATGGTGAATTATATATCATGCTGACAGTGAATGTGCTAAACTGAGAACTTGTACAAAAAAAGCTAAAATTTGAAGTACACAACGTCCAAATGGAACAACTACACTCAACCCGCGTCAGCCATTGTGAACAACGAACACTAAATATATGGAGTACCCGTGCTACGACAATGGCTCTACTCTCCAAGAAAAATGGGCGATTAATATAATCACTGGAAGGATCCTATCAGTTATCAACAGGTTAGGACCATCAAAAGCTAGAAGCTAACGATGACGTCTCACCGGGACTTTGTCTTGTCCCATCGGTATCAAGTATCAACCTATCATGCCAACTTGTAACTGCATCATACTGGGGATAGGCTAGTAGTACAATTATTGATACTGGCACAGAAATGTGACGAATCATTATCTCTCATTTGCAGGTTAAGGTTCTTCACTGCACCAGAGTGCCGCAAATATAAGGTAAAGCACCTTTATGCATTATCTATATGGGGCAGATAAGTAAACTGCATGTTGCCACCTCACCAAAAGTAGTAGAGCAAATGTAAAATTGTCACATCTAGAAGCTCCAGATTCCCTAATACATACTACTACCTCCTTCCCACAATATAAGATCATTTTTCAAGCTAAAATGATCTTATATTGTGGGAAGGAGGTAGTAGTATCTTAAAACACCATGGAAGATCAGTACAGAATTCTCAGATTTGCACTCACGTCATGACAGAAGAAATGAACGGGAAGCTTAACGAACTGACGACGCCGATCAAGGTCGAATTAACAGCTCTACAAGGCAATGAACGGGAAACATGCTTTACGACTTAGTACAATCTAAGAACCTGCTGTAGTGAAGGCCATTAGCCTCGGAGAGGGAGGAACCAAGAGCTAAAAATCCAATATCGGCAGCAAAAGTGTATGAACTGGAGTATGTACCATGGCCGGCGAGAAGATTAGGCCGGGGGAGTCGAAAAAGCCGGAGGGGCTGAGGCCGGGAGGCACGGTGAAAACAGCTGCCCCGGCCGGCGGTGCCACAGACAGCGCCGGCCCTGCCCTGGCGACCCCGCCTCTCCCTCTCTCCTGCTGCTGCTGCTGATGCTGATGCGGAGGCGGTTGCGAGAGGGAGCCGATGAGGAGCTGGGTGAAGCTGGTGGCCCCCGCGCCAGACGAGGCGCCGCTGCCGCCGCCGCCGGCGTCGGCGTCGGCGTCGGCGTCGGAGGGGAAGAGCGCGGAGGCGAGGGTGAGCGGGCCGGGGCTGGCGTCGCCGGTGCCGGAGAAGAGCGACTCCCCGGTGGAGCGCGGGGGCAGGGACAGACGCGGGCGCGGCGGCGGGGGCGGGCGCGCGGACATGGTCGCGGGAGGCTCGGGAGAGAGAGAGAGAGAGAGAGAAAGAGAAACGGAAGGGATTGGTTTGATCCCCGTCTTGGTTCCTGGCGTTGACTTCGGTTGGAGGTTCTGGTTTTGGGCTACCCTTGACCTTTTGTTCCTGAAGCTGAAGGAAGGAAGGAAGAAGAGACGGAGGGGAATTGGATTTTTTGTTCTTTGTTTCGCGTCTTTCACAAAATAATTTGTGGGAGCTCAAGCTATCAGGTCAAAAAAAATGTCTAAGCTTTGCTTTCTCATTCTTCGGTGATTTTTGTTTTTGACATGTATTCCATCCGTCTCATAATATAAAAGTGTTTTTGACACTATACACTAGTATAGAAAACTTATATTATGATACAGAGGAAGTAACTTTTCAGTTTCTGCACAAAAGCAACGTTTTTTTTAACCAGGCATAACCCCTTTCCATTACTGCGACATAACGAAAATACATAGGTCCATAGAATGAGACGGGAGAGGGGAGAACGAGTTCAAGCATCGTTGGGAAACTCACTGTGAGCACTCGCAATCGAGATTATCCACTTCGGGGCGAAAACCTGACGACACTATTAAATTTTATACCATAACAGTTTACGACCAAGCCCATCAACAAAGGCTAACCAGCCACTACTCACATATGAGCATCAAAAGATAAAGTTTCCACAAAGGGAACAAAGAGCAACGCTAGTAATACGAAAGAGGAAGACATCGCCATCTCTTTCAGCGTACCTTCTCGCTTTGGCTTGCAGCACAAATACGTATCAGTCTCAACGCGTTGTTCTTCGGCATGTCCATCCCGGCTCATAGATCCACCGTGTTCTCCTGCCTCAACAAACCTGCCCAAGCAGAAAAGATGCACTCAAAAGGGGATTTGAGAGGCTTAAATTCAAACGTAGCTCTATTACGACAAGATCAAATTGCCCAACATAGCACGGCAATACCAACAGTATAGAAAGTCTCCCTTTTTGGAAAGAAAGTGTAACACCAAGAGTAAGCTTGCCACATATTGTCTGGACACTTATCAGTGCTAAACATACATGCGGTCGTTCTCCAGGTTACCCTAGCAACAGAGCAAGTAAAGAAAAGATGTTGGGCAGTCTCTCAATCCCCACAGAATGAACATTTAGCGTCCCCCTTCCACCCCTTATGTTTCATCACATCTCTAGTTAGAATTGAATCCCGAGACAGTTGCTGCATAAAGATCTTAATCTTCAGGGGAATGCCAGTTTTCCATATCCATCTATAGTCACAACTTGTGATATTTCTCTCCAGAAAAGAGTACGCCGATCTAGTTGTGAAAGATGATTTAGGACCCAAAGCCCATTTGATACTATCTGTTTCCTTAGAAATACAACTTTTTTGGCAATATCAACCATCATCTTCCATTGCTCATTTAAATCAGAACTTAATCTCCTTCTAAAAAAGGATAAGGGGTCAGCCTCCATACATGCATCCACAGTGCATTCACGGAAGTTACATATCGAAAACAAATGGGGGAATTGATTCACAAAAGGCATTTGATCCCCAGTAGGATTCATCCACAACCTGGCAACATCACCAGAACGGATGATTACCCGTCTCCCGGCCATATACAAGTCTTTGACCTTCATGATAGCTTTCCAACAAGGGGAATCGTTCATTTTGATCTTAACAGAGGCTACTATAGCCCTACCAAAATACTTGGCTTTGATAATCTCTTGTCAGAGGTCGTTTTCAGTTTCAAGCTTCCACCACCATTTAGCAAGCAGACTTAAATTTTGCTTATGGAGATCTTTCACACCCAAACCCCTTTTTTCTTTTGATCTACAGATCCGAGACCATCTGACTAAGTAGTAACGTTTTATGTTCTTGGACACCTGCCAAAAGAATCTCCTCATATGTTTATCCAGTCTATTTATAATGGTTTTAGATAGTAGGAACATAGACATATAGTAATATGCAATGCTGGAGACATTAACATTTTAATAAAGTCAACCTCCCTCCTGAGGAAGCATTACCCCCCAAACCAGAATCACATCTTTTAATATTTTTGGCCTCTAAAAAGTCCCAGTCCGCCCCTCGCAAGGAGGAGTAACTCACAGGAACCCCCAAATATTTCATAGGAAAATGACCAATCTAGCAAAAATTGCAGCATATGTCTTCAGGATATTGTCATCCCCTCCAACACAAAGAATTCCACTCTTCTGGTTGTTAATCTTCAAACGAGACATGACTTCGAACATATAAAGGAGTAATTCCAAGTTTAGAGCCTTTTCTGATCATTTTCAATACACAGGACTATGTCATCCCCGTATTGCAAGATGGCCACTCCATTCTCTATCAGATCTGCAGCCAGACCAACAAACAATTAGTCTTTTTGTGCCTGCAACACCATCTTACACAAGCACTCAACAGCTATGTCAAACAAAAAAGGAGACACCAGGTCCCCCTGCCTTACCCCTTTGAAACTTTGGAAGTACGAGCCCATAGTGTTGTTTAACTTGACACAAACCGTGCCATTTTGGAGAATCTTCTTCATCCAATCACACCAAGTTTTCCCAAATCCCCTTACCTCAAGGCATTTTAACAAATATGAAAAGGGTTAAACATGCAAAACAATATGAGTTCTTTTTCCTCCTCAAGAAAACACAAACATCATGTCTCGATGCAATAGAAACCAAACATTGCACGACGTCTTACAGTCAAATGTTGTAACATGTCATGCAATGAAGAACCAAGGAGAAAACCGGCCTAGGGACTTCAGGCCAGTCTACTTAGGCGGACAACTAGAGAGGTGACGCACCACTGGGCTATACCATAATATGTATCTCTTTGTGCCATAACACTTTCGAGGACTTCATTTGACATGAAAACAGTAATGATTACTTCTCAATTAGTTCGGCATACCACTTTGAATGGCAGCATCAGTTCAACTCTAGATCTTTGGTGCATGTCACAACACCATCTATGCCTAACCTGGCCTGGAGTATTTTATGAAAAATAAAAATACCGGCAAGGTAAAATTCATTTGTTGGAGGGCACTTCATGAACCGATCCTGTTGAAGTGCATTTTGGCAATGAACAGATTGGAACCGATGGACAATGTCTAATAAGTCATGAAGAAGCCGAATACATCTTCTATTTCTTGTCCAGTCGTGGTTGAGCAGTAGAATGTGGCGTCTCCTTGGTATATCGCATATTATCATAGATGTTTGTCGATTGGATAGATTTGGTTTTGTGGTGCTGGAATATCTTCTTAGGTTACCTAATTCGTCTCTGTTGTATATGCCTAGCATCAGACCGAGCGAAGGAATAGATGCCGCATTTGGTATCTTTGGAGGTTATGACAAAGACAAACTCATGGTGAAGGTGTACCCCCTCCCCCCTCCATCACAAGAAGTGCAATCTCAGTCCAAATCATTTGTGCTAATTTACAACGTGCACAATCTCATGGCTCGAGAGCCGCTCTTTGCCTAGATCGAGTTTAGAAGAAACCTCCATTAGAATTCATTAAAAAAATTTGGTGCATCTTTCATGTAGAAGAAAGAAGGAGAACTACCAGAGTTGTAGCTCGGGACAGGAACAACACCTTCCTGGCGGCTTCTTGTGCCACAATACCATATGTTTCTAATGCGGAAACTGTTGAAACAATAGCGATGAAGAACAACCTGGACCTAGCAAACACCATGGGATTCCATATGATCCAGATCGAACCCGATGTTGTGGAGGTTGTTAATGCATATGCACGACACGACAAAAATTTGGGATGAACCAACTGCCATTTTTGTCGATTGCTTTGTTGCGACAGGGATGATAGGGAATATTGAATTCTTACACTGTTTAAGAGAATCCAATGGAGTTGCCCATTATGTAGCCAAATATGTGTATGATCATGAGTTATCTTGTAATTAGGTTGATGAACCACCCATATTTTTCTGAACATAGTACAAACATAGATGCTCATACATACGCACATACACTCTCCATATAAACGCACACACGCACACCCTAACCCTATGAGCACCTCCAAGATACTGAGCCGGCACATTATCTTGAGTTTGGTGAATTCTCCACAAACGCCTTCATAGTTGATGGAACGTCTCCTCCCACTGAATGCACATTGCTGGAAGGACTGAAATAAATCCAAGAAAATGCGAACACCAATATTAAATCCAGGACTTGAATTCTAGTGGGATGGAGATACCACTGTTGTCGGAAATATGCCCTAGAGGCAATAATAAATTGGTTACTATCATATTTCCTTGTTCATGATAAAGGTTTATTATTCATGTTGGAACTGTATTGACCGGAAACTTAAATACATGTGTGAATACATAAACACATACCATGTCTCTAGTGAGCCTCTACTAGACTAGCTCATTGTCAAAGATGGTTAAGGTTTTCTAATCATAGACATGGGTTGTCATTTGATAACTGGGTCATATCATTAGAAGAATGATGTGATGGACAAGACCTAACCGTAAGCTTAGCATTTGATCATATCAGTTTATTGCTATAGCTTTCTTCATGTCAAGTATATATTCCTAAGACCATGATATCGTGCAACTCCCTGACACTAGAGGAATACTTAGTGTGTATCCAAACGTCAATTCGTAACTGGGTGATCTTAAAGGTGCTCTACAAGTATCTCCAAAGGTGTCTGTTGGGTTGGCACGAATCAAGACTGGGATTTGTCACTCCGTATGACGGAGAGATATCTCTGGGCCCTCTCGGTAATACAACATCATAAAGAGCTTGCACACAATGTGACTAATGAGTTAGTCACGAGATCTTGTATTACAGAACGAGTAAATAGATTTATCGGTAACGATATTGAACTACGTATGAAGATACCGACGATCGAATCTCGGGCAAGTAACACATCGTCGGACAAAGGGGATTGTATACGGGATTAACTGAATCCTTGACATCGTGGTTCAACCGATAAATATCTTCGTGGAATATGTAGGAACCAATATGGGCATCCAGGTTCCGCTATTGGTTATTGA